TTATTTTTTTGTTTTTCGTTTATTTAAATAATTAAGCACGTCTGGTACATCAGATGAAATGAAATTAAATGGAGTTTAACGCCCTGCTGTTCTGTACCGACTGGGCGTCACATCAGATACTCGCGTTTGATTTCATCAGGTTCTTAGAGTTTATTAGTTCCCCGAAAGTTCTCTTCTTTTTTTTGTCATCTCAGTCGTTTTATGACCAATTCTTGTTAATTGTTTGTGGTAGCTACACGATATTCATTAGAACTACGAAAGAGCAGTCAGAACATTTACAGCTATTAGTTACAGCAATCGCTTGTAGCTATGAAGTAATTGGCATAAATTCACCTAATTGAGAAGTCGTATGACTTGGGTGATGTTTATGTCTGACAGCTCCGTTTAATAAAGCATACGGAAACGTCCTGCGGGACTTGGATTTACTCGATCGACACTTAGTAACACACGCGCAACTCAACAATACATGAGAATAATTAAACACTTGTACACCCACTAACAAATCACATTATAATATACATACACCCGCTTAATACAGATATATCCGCAATAAAAAAATACAACGCTTAATATGAATAACTGTCTCACATATCGTTCTCTTTTACATAACAATAAACGAACTTAACGATGACGATAGCTGAATGAATCATCAGCGATACGTCGTTTAAGCGGAGAAAGGTTTTTGGTGTGGCGTAGATTTTTAAAAAATGCAATGATGGGGGCGGGGGGTGGGGGTGAACGAGGATTTAATGTCAGGTCGTCTGTTTGAAATAGATCCAAGATTCTATCTATATTTAGTAATGTACTTTCTTATTTCTGAATCTTATATTATTCATATCCATCAGGCCATCATCAGCCCTTGGGGAGTACAGGAATTTAGCAGGAACTGACGTACACACCATAAGATGATATAATACCAACTCAAAAATAGCACATGAAAATATTCTGAAAGGGAAGAGGCAGGGCATGTCTTTTCAATGGCAGCACTGACGCTCGTATTAATTAAAAATATTGCTAACTGCTATTTTATCTGCAATGGACCCAACATAAAAATGCCTTAAGTGGTGGTCGCTCTTATTGCAACTGTATTTCTGCCACTAGATGAATGGAAAGGTCATTTCGATGAGCTACCAATTTATTGACATATCATGGAAGTTTATTGATGATAGACTTAAACATATTATTCAAATGAGTAATAATAATACCCGTCTTATGAAGTTATGGCGTCGATTTAACTAATCTCTGGACAGACTGTTCTTCATCGGATTATACCTATGTCAACTACATGTATATTTCTACAAAAGTCTACTACACGGTATTAAATCATACACTAGAAGACATGCACGTTTACAGAACAAACGTATCATAACTACGCCCATGATTATACATTTACCTATGTTGATGCTTAATAATCTAACGGTTCCACATAGCGAAATAGCTCTCAAATACGCTCACCGTTAACGAGGTATCGGCACTTTCGATATCTTCTTTAGTCGGAAAAAAAGTCCAATCTAGGGGAATAAAGTGTGTCTGAATTGGCGCAATTCGTGGTTAGCGTTTTGATAAAAAGTTTAAATTATCTCACATGGAATGGCGCTTACCTTTCAGCTGTAGAAGGAAATAAAAATGGTAACATTCCTTTCTAAATTGATTTTAAAACGATAGTGTAGCTACAACGAATTTATTAAATGAACGATCAAACGTGTTCAGTTTAATTTGGGATCCGAGGTAGGTTCGCGTAAATAACTGCTTTATATTCACTAGGGATCGGTGTTGTATCGTGTTAACTTTGGTTCTGTTTGATATTTATTTCATGTGCTATCTGGGTAGTCTTATAACAAAGCAACTGCTCATATACCACTTTAGAAAATTCGTCAAAAGGCGCCTGTCAGTATGTGTCTCTAGGGTAAAATTTCCATCCTTTAATACGCCAGGTCTCGCTGGGTGATTTTTATCTCAATATATTCTGCCCCATTATACCCCCATAGCAGCTGTGCTGGGTGGCATGCACTAGGTAGTACATGCTTATACACTTTTTCCGGAACAGGTAATGAAACTTTCAGCAGAGCAAAGTCCGTGATGTGTTTATGAACATTTTGTTGATTAGCTGAACACGGCTAAATCAATCAGTTCTCCCAAGCCTTACAATTTACTTTGTAACTGTATTGCAAGAGAAACAAAACAAATGTGCGGTCATAGCATAATGAGAAAGAGAGCGAAACCGTAATGCGCAATATTCGTAAAGTTGGGATCTCTAGAAAAATATGTTTTTGCGTACTTTAATTCAGTATACGTATTAAATAAAAACTTAGTTTAACTTGCATAAAAATATCATACCGATAAGTAGAAGGTAAGATACCAATGTCATTATTGTGTACTTATATTAAATTTGAATATCATTTGTAAAAAGTTGTTCTTAGTAAACGATGTTATACATAATAAATAATATACGAGCGTACTTTGGTAACAGTCAGCCGGAGAATGGCCTTCCGTTCTTCTTCTAATTCACACTAACAAAGAATATTTTTGTACGGGCACACTCAATTTATATAAAAGATATCACCAAAACAACTAGACACATTGGCAAGTGAGACAGGTTGACATACCCGAGGTTCTCCCCGCACACCAGGTTTCCGTTTGTGGGTCATGTGTTCTAATAATACAGCTCTACCCCCCCCCCCCCCTACACACACACACATCATCATCACCACCACCAATTGACAAAATTGTGGGTAAGTATATCTGTAGGCATATTTATAATATATTGTTTCCTTGTCGGTCACATATTGGCAATACTTTGGGCGCTACTGACAAAATAACGTTCTTGTCAGTGATTATATATATTTTATATATTTTTGATGAGATCTTTTAAATTTTGGATATTATATATAGAATATGCATATCTATAACATTTCTCTCCTTGTTGGTCACTTGTTGCAATACTTTAAACGCTATTGATAAAAAAAACGATCTTATTGGTCCATGTCGGTCACAGGTTCGAACCCAGTGTTGGTCGAGAAAGTTCATCGGTATATTCCGGTGTGGTTCCTGTTTGTCAGTGGTACAGTGGGACGAAAAACCGAAATCCCTTGTACACATTGACGTGCAGGTAAAAGAACCCTTGACAGTTGGAATTCGAAATAAGAATATGCAGACGGTGTGACGTATGCCCGTCTTCATTACAAGTGTATAAACCTTTATTGGTGCAAATTATTAGACGATCTACTTTATTAATGCTAAATTAGTCTTAATTTCTATCTGTTTGAAATTTATGTGCAATGTTGACATGGAATTCGTGTTTTAATATGTGTCACAGGAACTGCCGCACTGACGACGGTGTTTGAGATAACATATTGTCACATTTTGCCGAGATATTTCTGACTCCCAGTAAACTATTGTACAGACCTGGATCATCTGCTGAGAATTTTCTGTATCGTTTTTTTGGTTGAAAGTATAGGTGGCAAGGTGCATGTAAAATCATTGGGAGAAACTATACCGTATCAACAAATGTCCTGAAGCTCATTAAAGGTGGTTACACTTATATAGAATTCACACTTTATCTGCTACTGAGAAATGCATTAAAAATGATGAATACATTCCCGAAAAAAATTAATAGATGGTCATTTGAATGATGTATATCAGTTTTAGGTGTATTAGACTTTGGAAGTAAAAACACTAGATCAGAGATGGTCAACACCCGGCGCATGCACCAAACGTGGCGCATTGGATTATTAGAAGTGTCGCATTGCACCCCTGTGATTATATTTTAGAGATGATATTATTTCGTGCACATCTTTTAAAGCGAATGTTATCCTCTTTGATATTAATCTGTTTCTAGTATTTAATATTCTTAATGAAAGGTGGACTTTTGCTTTGCAATCGTCCCGTAACTGTTCAATACGCGTTTAATACTTATAAATATATTTTTTACAAAAAGTAGAAATGAAAGGAAATGGAGTTTAACGACATACATTTCTGCTCCGACTGCGCAAATGAAGACAGACATACGCCATGCAATGTGCTATAAGGGAATTTTGCCCGGACAGCGGTCCCATCCGAGCGACTGTGCGATCCTTGCCAGGCCCGATTAACCTACTCAGTCAACACCGGGATCAAACAGGCACCCCCAGGTTAGCGAGCCAACGTATTACCCACTGGAGCAACAGCGGTCCCGTACAAGAAGTAGACGCGGGTACAAGAATTGTATGGCGCGATTTGAATTCGTGTGTGAACAAATTAATGCATGGTACATAAACAGTTTGCCCTGCCCTAGATGGTGCCAAAATTGCTACCTGCTGTAACATATACTTAATGGGCCAGCTATTCTAGAAATATACTTGGCAGTGTAAGTAGGAGGTATTGCTGTGTCTCGCGTTCGTAAATAATTTATTATAGTATAATACGAGTTATGATAGTTTCAAAACTTAAAAAGAAGATTAATATATGAGAATGTCTATTGACAAATGAAATGGGATATAACGTCCTACATTGGGCTACTCTTATTTTACGTGCACGACAATGTGTACACACGATATGGGGTTTTCTTGCCACCCGACTAGACGCGGTTTCTTGCCAAACTTTCGACCCAGTACCACCCACCAAGGGAAACCACACAGAATAAACCCGGGGAATTTTCTCGCCCAAAAGTCTAAACATTAGACCACCATTCTTTTGTTTGACATTATTGTGAACAAAAAAGTCATAGTTTCGGGTTAAGAAATATGCCCGCGAACAAACCTATATCATGTTGTTTATTAACTGTAATAGATGCTTATGAAAATCAGAAAATAAAAAGGGTAGCTCCAGGGTTGGGATCAAATGTCAGTATGTGATTACTAGCGCAAATTGTCAGTATTAAAATAGCTATAGCACATTATATGTCAATTATATTACATATCAAATACATAATTATTACTTTGTGAAATTACATGATAAAAAACCCCCGAGATTAAATATTTCAATATCAAAACAGTCTAGTTAAAAAAGGGATAATTACTTACCTTTGATATTTAGAGCAAATAACACAACTACCATGACTATTTTGATCATTACTACTTTCATTTTTATCTGTTAAGTTACAATCAGATTCCGAAAACACTTAAAACGAAAGTGTGAAAATGGTCTTTGAAGAAATAAAGTTTGTATACGTCAGTAACCGTTACTAAATGTTCGTCGGTACTAGTGATCTGGACCTTGTGTTGTTTTCGGTGGCACAATGGTTACTGGAGTTACTAAGTCTAGCGGTGCTACTACTGGATTTGTGCATCAAAAACTGAACAATTTATATCGCGTCTTACCCTCATCAATAATTAATCGTGGCCATTTATAATTTAGTGACGTCAAAAGTTATCAGCATATATAGTGACCATGTGACGATAGTTACTGTTGGTGTCTTCTGGATGTCTTTATTATAACGAGGATTTCTATTGGTTCTGTGTCACCACCCACTTTATCTAACTTATTGCTTTGCTATTCGTATCGGTATTTAGACTATCAGTTAATATAATGATCAACTAGGCTGACAGCTCCCAACAAATAAAACCAATACATTTGGCTAATAATATAATCAATTGCCACGGTTTCGCATGATATCAATATTTAACTTTGTTGTTTTCGTATCTATAAACATATAATTGAACAAACAACTGAACTTAGAAAAAAACTAAATATTCAAGTGTCTGTCTCTTAGAAATACTAATTTGTTGTTTGTCAGTGAATTACCGGTGCCTTCATCTTGATTTGATGTTTTGTGCTGGTGTGCAGTACAAAAGTACAGTTAACATTAATTGTTAGCTGTGTGAATTCATGTAAGAATTTGAAATTGTCGGTATTTTAAAACACGATTCAGCGCAGGGCGGGACAGGGATACTTTTACTATCTGATACCACTTCTGGTTTATAGGGTTCACAATTTCTATTATACTTTTCCATATAACCATTGAACTCTTTCAGAGTATTTTTAACGCAAAGACATATATTTGTAGAAACCTAAAACACAACACATTCCAGTAGCAGATACACCATAGACCCCAAAACCAGAAACAATAACTACTGCTAATTAATATTAGTTCATCATTGTGAGGAAGGGAATGGGGGTAATGATTATTTTGATATATCCTTTTTTTTAGAATATCCACTTATTTGTCTCAAATTTTTGTACCAGAGTACACCTTACTTACATTATTGATATTGCGACAGACATTCCATATATATTCTGTTACGTGAAAAATTGAATTGTATTCTATGCGATAAGTTATTTAGTTCCTTAATATGGTGACGCTCATACGGAAATATTAGCATAACTCGCGAAACTTCGTTACGTTCCTGTACAGCCTGTTGGCCCTCTTGTCAGGTCTAAAATGTTCTATCGATACACTGTTAAATTCTACAGTGAATCAACGATTATTATGGAACTGTTCATGTTATTGAATCTGTGTTGTTTTACGACTTTTTGGTCTGATGGTGGTCTTGATCCGCGATTAATATGATATAATATCCATCAGATGATTGGAGCCACGGTGGCTCAGTGAGTAAGACGTTGTCTCGCTAACCTGGAGATCCCCGTGTTTGGTGCTGTGTTGACTAAGACAGTTCATCGGAATTTTTCGGCGTGGTTCTCCCTTGTCAGTGGTGCAGGACAGATGGCTTGGCAAGGGACAACGCATAGTCGTTCGGATGTGACGAAAATCCAAGGTTCCTTGTACGCAATAGGCGTGCAGGTAAAAAGACCCCTGGCAGTTGGGATTCGATATAAGAGGATATAGGCCGTATAAGTGCTGCTGTAATAGAAAAAATTATCCCAAAGCACACTGTATGGCGTAGCAAAACGGTAGGGCGTTAAACCCCATTTCATTTTTTTTTCATCGGTTGATAATCGGGTGACGTTAGCCGTTCTCAACACCGACCTCCCGAATGTATTGCTTTTGATGGACGTTAATTCCAACTATACAAAACTAATTCTGTATCCATTCATTCACAATGCGGGAGCCGCGATAAGACGCTGTCTAGTCATTCAGATGGGACGAAAAACCGAGGTCCCATATACACATTGGCATGTACGTAAAAGAACACCTGAGAGTTGAAATTCGATATAAGAGTAGGGCGTTAAACCCCATTTCATTTCATTTCATTCACAAGGATCATCAGGTTTTAACATATCACTATATCTTGTTCGGGTAGTGTTAGGGGTGCCTTTATAAATGATCTAAACTTATAATTACATGTTAATTTTAAAAGAAATTCAATTTACAATATATATTCTATTACTGCATAAACTCTCATTATAAACCTTTTGATGAATTGTGGCATTAGTTTACATTTCAAGATAAACCAATACCCAGTTAACTGTGCCCTTATTTTAATTCTCCAAATGGCTTGGTTCTATTAAAAGTTGACTTAACCACTTTCAGATAGCCCCAAACTAACAACGTGGAATAATTGTTAACTATAAAGTTAAATGTGGTGTATTCTTATTTTGTACATTTGTTTTAAGACGATAACAATCTATTGTAATAACCTAAAGCAATAATATTGTTTCAACCAAGAAATTAACTGTTTCTATTTTGATATAAAAAGTATGGCATCTATAAGAGAATAGGAAAAAAAGGAATAAAGAAACTCCACGCTGATCTGGTGTCAGAGAGAAAGTAAGTTTAATTGTTCGCCCATTTTTATGACATTTTCTTTAATAGTTAGTATTGGGATTAACATGGCCCTATAATCGATATTGAGCATTTTTGGCAAAACCAGTTCAACAGTTATTGTTCCTGGCGATTGGTAAGGTACATCACCAACAGTTAGTGATCATGGTCGAGATATATAGTTACTTTGGGTGTTTTCACAAAAGCACTTGCAGATTTATTGCCCGTGATTTGAGTGATTGTTGATGAACCTGTTACTTTACTCTGTCTATAGAGTTTAGTTAAAACTGATCTTTTTAAATCAAATTTTCAGGAATAGTTAGTATTGGTGTCAAGATGGCCACTGTCGATTTAAGTGTTTTTTTAAAAATGTAGCCCCAGAGTTGTTGCCCATGACGATGATTGATAAAATTACATTATCGTTACCGTACTCACTATCGATACAAAATCAGTTATCTTCTCAACACTGACATTATCTATAGACGTAAAATTTAGTACGCAAACAGATTGTTATCCCATAAAACAATTCAAAACGCCCACAGAATTCGAGAAATTCATTTTAGGTAGGCCTACGATTAATGTCCTGCTATCGCAGTCCATCCCCATATTACGTTGTGAAGTTGATCCCCTGTACAAAGAAACGTGTCGCGGTGCACTATATTTAATTTATAATCTTATATCTATATGTATGATATACGACTCTATATTGCGAATTAATAATGTAATGTGAATAATATAGGTGTTATAAGGAGTTTTTCTATATAACTTAATAATGTTTCTGGTGTCAATAAGCGTTGTGGTGCGGGGGTGCTTCATTAAATCATCGTTTCCAAAGTTAATTGTGTTAAAAAAAACAATGCTGCTAACACTTCTCGTCTACTATACGAGGGCAGGCTGAAAATTTCTAAGCCTATCTGTGAAAGATCTGTACATACGAAGTCGATGGTTTCCATTTACTTTTCTACACTGTAAAAAATATCCATTTTTAATGTGACCGAATTCCGTAGTTTAACACTTTTTTTTCTGTTAATCGATGTTTTTTTTTTTTTTGAGAAATTGTGTTAAAAGTGTGAATTATTTCTTCAAATTACGTGTTTTATTTATTTCTATGGAATATTCAGTATTAAACAGGACATTTCCGTGAAATTTAGCGATAAAATGTTTTATTCCCTTCTATAATGGAATTAATTCTGTTATTTAATGAACGGTGGAATGACCAGGAATTTCTGTGAAATTTAGGGATACAATGTTTTATTTCATTCTATAATGAACCCAATTCTGTTATTTTACGGGATAAACGGTGGAATGACCATGAATTTACGGATTATTTCAGTTTGCAAATGCAACGATAAGTAATCGTATACATATATAATCATTCCTAATAATTAGCATGTTATAGTATTTATTTCAATTTATTAACCATAATATGAAGAATCATATTTTGTAAATTTTGGTATATTACATGGCATGTATATCTAATTTCCATTATTTATAAGATCTATAAAGTGTATTGTTATTCATCATACGTTAATCAGATTGTAAGTATTTTCGTAAATGTATAAAAATATTTTTAACGATCCGTGTGTTTAAGTTGTTTTATCTGGTAATCAAGCACGCTTAAATCCCGATAGTATAACCGATTGGCCAGTGTAAACCGATTTGTCTCTATGTGGAGACGCTGTCGGCATGTCTCTATGTTGGGGTTAGTCCTTTCAGTTGCAGGTACTAGATGACTGCCCTATAGCTAGTTTTGTCCATTTCAATGGGTAGGCCCACAAGATGGTCTGGTACAAAGATAATAATAACACTACAGTTGCAGTTCTTCTGTCTATGATTCGTGCAATGATTGTACTTGCTAGTTTTAACCCAATTGATCTATCCTTTTCAAGCTTAGAACTTTTCAGTCAGGCCCCGTACATTTGTATTTAAACGTCATAGGCGCCCTTAGTCTATGTCGTATCTGGCATATCTTTGCAGAACACTATTTTGTCTTTCTGTGTTTCATTACATTTTAGAATCTTTTAAATGCGTATCCGTGCGTTTTATGCACCAGTCGCCTGTTCGTAAGCTGCATATATTTTTTTCAGATAAGTCTATATGGTAGAGCAAGAGCATGTTATTCCGAGATGGACACCTTATTGAATAAGATTTACAATGCATTCAGATGCGGAAAATAAATACACTTACTTTAGCAAAAATAATCCTAGAATCATCGAAATTTTTGGGTTTGATAGAGCAAATCATTTTGAACGGGTGTTGGCAGAACTAACCGAATTATGAGTATTTTATTTTTAGATTGACTGCCGTAATGAATAAGTTTCACCATGCATAAATACACTTAATTGTAGCAATTAAAATCCTAGAATCATCGAAATTTTCGGAACTGGAAGAGCAAAGCATTTTACACGGGCCTTGGCGGAACTATCCGAAGACTCGTCAATCAATTATAAAAAGAATGTCTATCTCTGCAATGGATAGACAGATCTGTCTAACTAGAGCATATCAAATTAAAAAGACTTGCCACTGAAATAAAGATTAAAACAGATGATAGGAATGTAATGAATCTAATAGCGTAGTTTATAACATATACAACATACATGCAACATATATCACATCAAGGTAAACATTTTTATTGACTCACTTAAAGAATACAAATGCGACTTTTTTTTTTTTCTTT